TTCTTATAAATTTCTGTATAATCAATTTAAATCTGAATAATATAGATTATACTTTAGCGTGAACTAATAAATTATTAATTAAATTGTATTTAACAGATATAATTATTTTATTAATAATTATAATAAATATTGAATTGACATAATTAATTTTGATATTATTAAAATTAATTAATACTAAAATATAGTAAAGTTAATAACTTTATATACAATTAATATTCTATATAATTACATCTTTTAAAACTTTTAAATTTAAAAAAAATTGTATAATTATAAAAAATTATATAATATTTATTATAAAAGATAATTTTTTAATAAATTTATTATTATATTTGACTTATAAAATTTATTTATAAATAAAAAATGAATATAAAAAATTATTATATAAAATCAACTATATATATAAATAAAAAATCATAATACAAACTTTTTCTTGAATAAACAAAAAGTAGGTTTATATTAAATATAGTATTGCAACTAATACAACTTAATTTTATTAATATCATAATTAGTTGTAACCCTATAATGATTATTTATTATTGATTGCAATTAGTTGTAATATTATTATTAGTTGTAATATTATTTTTAGTTTGCATATTATTTATTAATTCTTAACGTTTAAATATTTTAATATAATAAATTGTATATGAATAGCTAATAAATCTATTTTATTTTAATTTTTTTTTTTACAATTATAATATTATTTTTAAATTAACTGATAATTAACAATAATAATAAAAAAATACATTTTATTATTTAACTTAAAGTTTTATTATGTCTAATTGCTCCTAAATTTTTATATAAAATTTCATTAATGTAAAAATAAAGTTAATAAAAGAAATTGTTGAAAATAAAAAAAGCTAAAATAATAAAATACAAAATTATTAATAAGTTATCTTGAAGAAAATTTGCTAAAATAATTTTAATTCAAATTTATTAAGATATTATATATTAATTAAATATAAACCTTTTATATGAAAATTTAAACATATTTAATTAAAAAAACTACTTTTTTTTTTATAAATTTATTTAAAAAATTTATAATTAATAAATATAGTATATTATTTATTAATGTTGATTTAATAATTTTTATTGATTTTCTTGGTTAAATAGATGATATATTAGAATTCTATTAGATTTGTATAATAAGTTAACTATTATTTATAAGGATTCACTATTTTTTCAAAAATTTCTTTATGCATTATAATTTGCTAAAAAAGGTTAGGTAATGAGAGCCATAATAAAGAAAAATTTTTATTAAAATTTTTTTTTAAAATTAATAAATAATGCCTAATTTGGAAACAAAGAAAGATTCCAAATTTGGAAAATGAGCTTGTAACATTTAAATAAGTGACATTTCACTGGCATTAATTATCGTCGGGGGTTGATTGTATTTAGGTTAAAACTCTATTATAAAAAAAAAAGCTGTACCGAACTTTATTAATTGAATTTTACAATGATAATCTAATTAACATCATAATTTCTTGTATCTCATTGCTTGATAATCAAACCTTATTTATTTCTTTTCACAACTTTTGATTTATCACCACAAATATTGATGTTCAAATATTCCAAACATACATTAATTTTACGATTAATTAAAACTTCTTTAAATTCGTATGAATTACGGGAAATCAATTTTTAAATACCATACCGATAAATGAACTATGTCTTTTAGAAGGAACGCATACATATCTTCAATTTCACAATGTTCAACATATAGATTAATGCAGTTTTTCAAAGGTTTATTTTTCCGTTATATTATATATTAGAGTGATTATTTAGAATTTTATGAAATATATAAACAAATATTGCTTTTGGTAATTAGAACTTTACGATTTAAATGGTTTAAGAGTTTTGAAAGGAAAAAAAACCTTTAAGTTAGCCTTCGTATCCGATTTCATTTGATTCAATACTCAATTCTTTTATGTTCTTACATGACGATAGTATTTTAATTGAAGAGTCTTCTTAAATGAACAAAAAGATATTCGTAAATTTGATCTTTAATGATTATAAATTTCCTTCAAGTAATTTGAGTAATATTTTTAGAATGTTTCATTAATTCTTTAGATAAGGGAAGTTATATTTCCCATTACATTAGGTGAGGCGAAAAAATACTTGGAAAGTACGGAGTAAGAACATATGAAATAATTTATAGGAATATAATCGTAGAGGCAACTTTCCTTGATTGAAATTGGAAAATTCAAATATTTAATTTTTGCGTCATATTTTAAAATGATGAGATATAGAGGTCGTTCAAAATTGGTAAAAGATAAAAAGAAGATATATATATTTGTAATATTCCAAAGAAGAAATTCGGCTAAAATAATTTCCCGACGTGATATAATTCATAATTGATAATCTTTTCCATCTATAAATTCTTTATCAATAATATCTTGATAATTTGTTTTAATTACCGAACCCAAAAAATTATGATTTGATGCTTTAGAATACCATAGAAATTCTTTAGAATGGACCTAATGTAATTTATTCTACATACTATTAAAGTCTAAATCATGAACTTTTTTTTTATTTAATTTTGTGGCAATTGCATTGTAGTCGATTGTCATATGCTTAAACTGATAATGAAAGTTTCTGTTCTAAACTAGGTCTTTGTGAAACCTGCATGTCAAAGGCACGCGGAAGTAGAAATAAAAAGAGATACGGAACAATGAAAGTAACTAAATATGATTTATCGATCCGAACACAGATTATGCCGAATTCAAAACGTCAAAATCTTTCAATTTATACAAATCAAGTAAATTTGACCGCTTCTTTTTAAAGAACAAAAAAAATTTATAAAACGTACGTTTTTTAATAAAATTTTCTTTTTCCTTTTTTTTATTTTTTTATTTTATTTATTTTAATTTTAATTTTTTTTTTTATTTTTTTTTTAAAAAAAAAAATAATTCTTTGTAAAATCAAAAATATGTCAATTCAATCATTACCACAAGAATGCGTTTCCCATATTTTTGAAATTTTAAATGATGAAAAGGATGATAAAAGTCTTTTTTCTTGCTTACAAGTAAATATAGATTGGTGTATAGGCGTTGTACCTATATTATATAGAAAACCATTCGCTAAGGAGCAACATGAAAGAAGTAAAAGTCGTCGATCCAAACTTATCTCAACGTACCTTTCCTGTTTGACTGAGGTAGAAAAGGATTGTTTTATGAAGATTAACGAAATTCGTGTCTGTTTAAATACCAAACCATTATTTGATTATCCGATATACCTGGAAGAATTCTGTAATGAATATTTGGGGGAAAAAATAAGTAATTGGATTATGCTCATGATAAAAAATATTTCTTTAATGGAACAACAACAACTTCTTCAAATGATTTCAAGCAAATTATATCCTTTATTAATAAGCAAGAGTAAAAACCTTACCTATTTAAATATCGTTAGCGTTAATTCCGACATTCCAAACATTTACACATTCCTTGCCTATCCTGGGTTAGAGAATATCTCAAGGTTTGATTTCACATCTAACGAAAGTGAATTATCAAATATTACGAGATTAGTGAAAGAGCTTCCTTCCAGATGTAAAAATATTCGTACGGTCAATTTTAATTATAAGTTAACCACAAATGAAGATGGTGAAATCGCGATGGCCAAAGCACTCTGTAAACTGATTGAAACCCAAAGCAACCTTAATAGATTGTACTTAAAATTCAAAGGGAAGGCTATAAATCATATTATGATCGCGTTAAAATCAAAATCCCACAGTTTGACGTACCTGTATCTCAAGAAATTAAGATTAAATAATGACGCAATCCATCCAATAACGAGCTGTGAGTCGTTAGAAGTGCTTGGATTTGAATCATGTTTCAACACGTCACGAGAAGGTTGTAAATATTTTGCGGATGATGCAAAGTTTCGCCTCAAAAAATTGTATTTGGTGGGAAATAAGATCTCAGAGTTCAAATGTTTAATAATACAAGCGGCCGGTCAATCCTTACAAAGTTTGATTATTGATGAAATCGATTCCGACTTAATCGCGGCAATACTTTGTTACTGTTCAAATGTCGATGAATTATTATTAATGGCATCAGAATACAAAAATATCGATCTTTATAATCTTTTAATGAAATTAAGATATTTGAGAAAATTAACCCTATGGTCCACGAACGAGTATATTATGCAATCTTTAGGAAGTTCTTTACCAGGTTCATTAAAACATCTTGGATTCATTAATTCAAGCTGCACGTCTCATACTTTTGATCGTTTCTTAAACGAGTGTAATGTTCAAATAGAATCTTTGGAGTTATTCAATTTTGTACATTTTACGCCTATAAGTGAATATGTTAAGGGTCATTATAATCATTTAAGAGTAATTTATTTTGGCAATAGTTCTGATATGATCAAAGAAGAGCTTTCTGAGATTGATAAAATCAAAGAATTTGTTAAAGTAAAATTTATGGGTAAAGATTACAAATGGATTCCAGATAAATTCATTTGATTTTCTCTATTCTAAAATAGTTTTCTTTTTTACCATATGAACAATATGAATAAGCATGTATGATATGAATAAGTATGAATAAGTATTAATGAATAAGTTTGAATAAGTATAAATAAGTAAATAAATATGAATAAATATTAAAAAAATATTTCATTTTGTAATGTTATTTTATTTTATTTTGTAATTCTGACAACTTTAATCTGGTCAAAAATTCAGATAATTTCAGCATAGTTAATTCTAGTTAAAATGATCAATTATTTATACTAATTTAGTCTTGCATGAATTTTTTAATAAGTTAAAATTTGATATAATATTTAAATAAAATAAAGGATTAAAATCTTTTAAAAAATGTGACACTGATATCACTAATATATAAGTTAAGAGTATCGTGGTATCAATTTTCTTTTTTCTTTTAAAATAAAATTCGCATTATTTCACTATCACATAAATTTTAATACTCAATCGCCGATTAAAAATATGCTTTCCAAAGGAATAAGATCAGCGCGTGTTATCTTTCATTTTGTTATATATTAAATAAAGATCCACATCCTCATTTTAAAATTAATTTATTAATAAAAAATCGGTTTGGACATTCCAGATTCGGCAAGATCATTTATTAAGGAAGGTGATTTCGGCGACCATCCAGATTACAGTTATTCTTTTTTTCCTGCATATCTCATTGATTTCATTATCTTAACTTTTTTTTTTTATTCATTAAAACAACAGGTGATAAAATTATTATGAAAACCGAGAGAATCTTCGAAAATTCTTTATTATTAATAGCTTTTGTGAGTGAATTTTATGAAAATTATTATTATTATGACAGTATTATATAAATACAATTTTCGTTCATTATATGTTACAATTTTAATCTTAAATGGTTCCTTATAATATAATTTTTTTATTTTAATTTTTTCCCAATAATTTACCATATCATTTAAATTTTTTTTGTTTTCGTTTTTTTTTTAATTATCAAATGCATTATTGTCAATCGTTTGTTCAAAAAATTGCGGAAAATCATTAACGTTTATCATTAAAGCGTTTAAATTATAATCTTCCAATCCAAAGATTGGGGAAGAAGACGATGCGAAAAAACTATTCGATTCATTATTTAATTCGTTTGTGTTTGTGATTGTGTTTGCGTTTGTCGAACTTATCGGTAAGGACGAAGACGATAAAGGCGAAGGTGGATAGGACAAAGAATTCGAAATTGGGGAAGAATTTTCCGAAGAAAACGTCGATAGACTATCTATGTAAGGATACACTGCCGTATCATTTTTTTCAAGTTGTGAAGGGGTTAAGTATAGTTCATTTTCGTTGTATGTCGTGAAAATTGAATTATTCTCCATTAGCATAAAATCATTCATGTCGTATTCGTAATGAGATTGCGACCAGATATGGGAAGGATATGGTTGATAAACTAGGGTAGGTCGCATGATGGTTGTAACGTCGTCGTTGATTTCCGGTAGAGGAGACATGGTGCCGTCGACGATGTCAGGTAAAACGGTTATCGAATTATCATGTGAAACTGGTTTAGAAGGTAGAACAACATTCTTTGAAATCCTCTTCTTTCCATCAGAGTTTTTTCCCGAATTATTTATGGTATTTGACATTTCTATTGAACGTATTTTTAAATATTGTCTTTCGGTTTCACGCGCTAACTTTCGATACTCTGATTTAACCTGAGACGGTTCTTGGTTCCAAGATCTTGATGCTAGAGTCGATAGATTTGTCATCTTAATCTTGTAATTGTTTGCCTTGAGTTCTTTAACCAATGCGGCTCGATAAATAAAAAACTCATTTGGCATTTTTGGGTTCTTTGACTTGCGTTTTAATAGGTTCTCCACCAAATATTCGGTGTCGATGGACGGAGGGAAAGGTGGTCGTTTGATGGAAAATGAATTTAAGTCGTCCATGGTGTTTGGTTGACTAGGATTACATTTTACATTTGTCAATTCATTCTCTTGAATTGAGTTAATTTCACAAGTTTGAAAGCTCAATAGGGTGTCCATTGTTCAAACAATTTTTATTTAACGGAATTTTTGATTATAATTATTAAATAATAATTAACAGACATCAAACTGAAACAAGATCTTTTATTTACGAAATCAAATAAAACATAAAAAAAAAAAAAAAAAAAAAAAAATAGAATGCTTGATTTATTATTATTTCAATTTTTTTTTGGAAAAATTTTTTCTCGAAAAGAGGATCGAAAACGCCGTCTTTTATGTCAAATATAAAATCCGAATTTATATGTGGTATTACTTGCTATATATAAATTATATGGTATGGTTAAAATAATCTGTGACGGATTATGAACCGGAAATAGTAAAATGGGCCGAAATTCCGATGATGCCACTTTCTTATTGACCGCAGGAATGCTGCGGCTAATAATAATCCATGAGAACTCGAGATTTTCGTAATACAATCCCTATTGTTCAAATTTATAATTATATCAAAAAAGTTTGAAAGTTTGGAAGTTTTCAAGAGATTGATTTTTTATGCAAAGACTTTTCTCTGTCATTGCTATTTTTGATGAAAAAAGAAAATCTCATTCTTCTCGGAATCATTCCTTGGCACCACCTTCTTCTTGTCGTAATGGTTACCCTAACAGGGATTCTTATTGTCATATGTTTATGCTTTCAAAAGGACCTTTCCCTCCGTACATGGAAGATCTTTTTTTTTTAACCATCATTCTTAGCATTTCTGTGAGGATGGTGGTAGTCATAATGATTAAATTTCAAGAACCCATAACGGGCAAATAAGTCGAATTTCGATTGCTGCGGAATCTGCGTACACAAACCTAAATTTCAAAAAAAAGGGACTTGTTTGATTGTTTGTTCGATAGGTTTGAACCAAAAAGGAAATTGCAATCTTTCAAAAAAGTAACGGATGAGGGATCATGCAAAAAGTTCCTGTCATTCATGTGAATCTTCAAAAAAGTTCGATTTTTTCCGCTTAAACACTTTGACATTTTAACAATGTGTACGGAATTGGTAATTCTCCACATTCACATTACGTGAACAATGCGCCTTTAATTCCCATTAATGTTTATTGTTTGTTTATGAACCTTGCTAATCTATGTCTGTCATATTTTGTGTGCGATAACTCATCTTTGGTAATTGAGTTTGAAAGCTGCGTTAAGCAAAAAAAAAAATTATTTTGAATTGATTACGAAGCTTTACCGCTTGTTAACCTTTTACACCAATAGAATCGCTAACTTTCTTTTTTCCAAAGATATGAAGAATTCAGGTGGGAAGAATGATAACAATTCTTTCTTTACGGATTTAGTGCCCCATCACTTAGTTTCCGATATTTATAAAGTATACATACAAATTTAGTATTGTAATATACCGATAGGGGTCAGCCTTACATATAAACCCTAATTATATGAATGAATTAATTGATTTGATGGGGTTTTCGATCGAGATTTCAAAGAAAAAAAAAAAAAAAAACTCGCTTGAATCCAAGATCTTCGTTTGGAAAACGTTAGATTTCAAATATGGAAATCCGTAAGGAATATCGAGATTTGCATGAGTACATCATGATCGACTATAAGGACTTCCATAGAAAATGTTAAAAGTCGGAGTTATCGGAATTATTCTTACCGCGGGGGGTTTTTTTTTTTACAGTAATCGGATTTATAATTCCATTCTCTTGATACCTTAAAACAATGTTTATAATGACATGACTCTTTTTTTTTTTTTTTTATATTATATAATACAAAAAAAAAACTAGTGTTCAAATTTACACGATTGTCGATTTTTAAATGGTTCTCTCTTTTTTTTTTCTAAATCTTACAAGGGATTTTCTTTATAATTCAAGTACCTTTTGTTATTAATCAGTTACCGCCAACCATTAATGCAATTCCAAGAAAAAAAAAATCGTAAAGCAGAAAAATTGGCAACATCGTACTGTAAGCCTTGTAATCCCAAAGGGAAAGTTGCAAAGGCTTGCCAAGAATGTCATGCAACTAATCATAGATTCCGGGATAGAGAATCTGATTTGTATTTGAATAGAAATGAATGTTTTATTAATGGTTGCTTAAACGTCCCATAATTTTTTTTTTTCATCGGCGGTGCAAGAAATATGGTACCAGAACACAAAACAATTATATGGACAGATCATATTTAAAAAACTGACAGAACTAAAAACTGGAGAACTCATGATCCAGAAAGTCAGATTATCCATATAATTTAGAACCCGGAATAGATCATTTCTTAATACATAAGAACACAATAGACAAAGAAATGTATCAGATCTCAAAAATAATTGCCATCAATGAAGGATGGGAAAAGTTAGAAAAATTAAAAGATCGATTGATTACATGCATATTCAATCTAGGACTTATTGACACGAAACTATATTCAAGAATACATTACAGAACTCTTATTTCCCCAGAACACATTTCTATCTATTCATAAAGAAAAGAACTCAAATAATCATATTAGAAGGAAATATCGCATGCGCTAAAAGTACTCAAGGAACCATTTTAAAAAATTATATTGAAAAATTAGGACACACAGTAGAGTTTTCTTGATGAACAAGTAGAAGAATGGGAACCACTCTTAAACAAATTTTATAGATCTCAAAAAGAGTACCGGTTCGCCCTACGATTAATGATCACAAAAGATAGATGGTCACAATATAAAGAAGCGCAAAAGAAATATCCAAACTATATTATTATGGCAAGATCACATGTTTCAGGACAAATATTTTGGGAATTACAGAAACCAGAACTCATAGAACACCCAGGATCATTTATTAAAGGGACTCATGATCCAGAAGAATTTCAAGAACACTTAAAGAAATATAAGAAGTATGAAAAACAATCAGGAAAATATTATGAAGAAACTAAAATTCTTGAATACTCATGGTACAAAGAATTTGAATATACTGTAAACCACAGGTTATTTACCTAAAACAAGAACTCTCAAGAATTTTTGAAAAATAAACAGGATACTGTTACGATATTCAACAAGGTGGCATGTGGGAATTGTTTGTTCCTTGCAAATATTCTATCATAAGACAATTCGTGTTGAGTTTATGGATGGATTCTTGATTAGCACTCTTCATTACTTATCTCGATGAAAAGAAGAGGCCAACCTTTTTTTTTTTTTGCGTAAGTATAAGTATTTCATATTGGTATAATTATTTTATCGTACACCGCAAATTATTAACTTTTTTTTATCTTCTTCTAATGAAAACTTGGTAGTTGTTAATCGTATAGCATCATTCGTACGATTGATAAAGTTATTAAAATTAGAAATCCATGGGTAAAACCGAATGGAGTGAAACTTTAGGTCATAAATTTGGATTTGATTTTTTTTTTTTGGGAAACAATGAATTATTGTTGATAATACTAGATTCGTCATCGAGTTTATTCGTTATAGCGTCGTACCAAGATCGAATGGAAAGCTCATTTTAATAGTTCAAAAGACATTATCATCAAACCGATACTGTAATGGCTCCACGTAGGGTTAATTTTGAATTATCCGCTGGAACTTATGAAATAGTATCTAGTATTGATCGTAATGTGAGAAAGAACCTTTAATTAAAAAGAATATAAAGAGAATCTTAGTGATGATGCAAATATTGATTCGGATGATGAGGAAGAAAAGTAAGAAAAGAGATGATAGTTATTATCACTTGATTTTTGAGTTATTCACAAGACTATATTATTGATAAAAAAATAAAAAATAAAAAAAAAAAGAGGAAGAAACTAGATTTCATCGACTAATATATCTAATGTAATCCTTTAAAACGGCAAAAGAATAAAGAATAATTTATGATACTATCGAATCACGAGACAGAGAAATAATATGATCCCGTAATATATGTGTATATCTAAATAAATTAATCTTTGTGAAATATTAATCTGACTTAATAACTTGTCCATCATATAACTTTCTTCTGATTATACTTCGTTAAGACAATTTGGTGTATGTTAAATGGGACAAGCTGATTGTAAAGTTTTGGTGTCACCTGAAGAATTTATGAAACAGTGTGAATGGGAGAATATATGTGATTCGCTCTTTAAAATTCTCGCAAGAGATTTTTCAAATTTGACAACATATTATCAAAAAAAAGGGTCGCACTTTACCTCTTCGAATAGTTAACTTGTCGCAAGTTAAAATTACATAGTCACGAAACAAAAAGGCTTGACAGGATGATAATACATAAAGATCTGGTTGGTATCTTTTCGTAATAGGAGTAGCTCATTTTCTTAATTGCATACAAATATAAATAAAAATTGGTATAATAGAGTAAATAGCATACATTTATTATTTTATATTTTTCAAATAATTATTGTGCATAAAGAATTCAATATGAATTTAATTATAAAATAAATGGTAAAATAAAGCAAATAAGCAGGAATTACTGTATTTCACATAATGTTCTTTTCTTTTCAATTCTTTATTTAATGGCTTTAGTGATTCGTAATACTGTAAATTTTGAAAAATTCATTCATAAAAAACATTGTCTAAAGAATTACTCTTCAGAAGTGATAATCTTATCAATATTGAATTGCTATTAATTACATTTTTAGTATTATATATCTATGTAATATATTTTTATTTTAGAATAAATTTTTATTCTGATATAATATGTATTTAAATCTTAGTCATTAAGTTTTTTTTTCGCTAAAACCTTTATTTATGACCTTTGTTTTATATTATGAAATAAGAATCTCCTTTTTTTTATGTAAACTTTTTTATTCAATCATTTAAAATAGAAAGAATTTTTTTTTTTTATTATATCTAAGACTAATTTTATCATTAACATTTTATACTTTTCTTTTAAAAATTTAATAAGTATATATTTTACTTTTTATTTTTTTTTATATATCAATTAAAATTATAATATTTTATTTATAAAATTCTATTTTATATAAAAATAGTATGTAATTTAAATTAGAAAATAAAGTTTAAAATTTATAATGATATATATATTTTATTTATTATTCAATTATTATATAAATTTATTTATATAATAAATAATAATTATAATATATATCATATCTTTATAAATATTATTACAAAAAAAAAATTATTTTTTTATAAATTATTAATAATATAATCTTTACAGCCACTTTATCCTTCATACACTTTATGTTTGAACTAACACAGAAAATGTAAACTGATCATTGTACTGTTATGGTCAGTTCTTTAAGATGCTTATGGGTGATAAGCAAAACAATATATATAGGTGGTAAGCAGAAGGTTTAATTTGATATTTAGATTTAGAAGAATGTTGGTAAATTAACAGTTTATTTAATAACTATAACAATAGAGTACTACCTCAGTCAACACTCTATACTATACAATTATGTTAGAGGGATTAAACTAAACTATTTTATAAAACTATCAGTCAGACACACTGCTAAGCTAAAAGAAATTATCCTTTATTTATATAAAATAGAAAATATAAAGTTACCGAAGATATAAAAGAAATAAATATAATAAATAAAATATATGAAATAAGTAAAATATAATAGATATATAAGATAAATAAAATAAAATAAATAAAATAAATATATTGTATAAAAGAAATATATGCTATAGATGACATAGATAACATAGAAGACATATATGATTTTTTAGTGATCAATGTCATCCTTTAGATCATCATCATCCATGTCTTTCTTTGTGTAATAATATGTTATTTGCCGATAGTGATGATGAGAATTTTGAAATTGACAAAATTAATGATTAATAAAATTTTTTGTATTGAACTTAAAACTATAATAAAGCTTATATTAAATTATACCTTAAAATTCAAATTACAAATAAAATTATTTAATAATTTACATTAAATTTAAAAAAAAAAAGTTTTATTATAAATATATTAGTGTATCAATCTTTTTGATTTACTTTTTCTATTCTTGACACTACTTTTTGAAAATTTACTTGATTTTACTTTAACTAGTTCTCTAAAAGGAATTAATATAAACATTTGCTTTTTACTAAAACTATATCTTTTCTGAAAATACTAATAACATTATCTTTTTTTAGTTAATTTATCAAAAGTTTGAGTAATATTAGAGTCTGCTGATTAAATTCTTTATTATTTATCTCTTTATCAAGATTATAATCTGCAACTTAAAGAAATTTTATATAGCTTTTATCCTGAAAGATTAAGATTAAATAAATATGATATAAAAGATTCAGATATATTAGAGTGATTAAAAATCCTTTTTAATTAATCAAAATATGTAAAATTACCTTTACAGTAGCGGTTATAAGTATCTGACCGCCTCTAACTCCAGCTACAAGTAAGTAAATTCAAAATTTTTTTTTTTATTTAAAAAATACATAACCAACTAAC